AGCTATCTTCCCTTCATAGTCCCCCCACCCACACAAAATGATTAGTAGAAAATGCTTCTTAGCAATTGTAAATACAGTCCTCAAAACACAATTTTTAAGCAGTTAACAAGCACGAAAATATGATTAAACCACATGCTTAGTACCTCAAAGAATTCAGGGAAGTTCTTTGCTTTAAGAAACAAAATGAAACAGATAATCTGATAAGAACTGAAATCTACCTTTTCTTTGCCTTGCATTATTTGGGATGGTTTCATGAGAATCTATGAGGGACTTGATTCGATAAGCACAGGCAATTGTTGATTTTCACTCATTCTGATTAAGATGTTAGTAGACAGTAGGTAGTTAAAAAGAAATGGGAATTGGTTAGTTTGGAAAAGTGAATGTAAACTGGATATACAAATGGAATATATGTAAATCACATTAAATTAGAAAAACAGCCAGAAAATTAAATAAGTATTTGAAGCTTTGACGAATGAGTCTAAGTCCTTTGGGAAAGGGTTAAAGGTATGGAAGATATATCTTTGGAGATGGCAATAAAGAAAGAAAACTACTACATTGTATCTCTGTAAAACGAAAATAAAAGCAACTTGTCTCCAAAATCTTTCAATCTCCAGGTGCTGTTAGTCATGTCTAAGCTTAGAGTATTATTTTCTGTTTTCAAGTTAGCTTTACACAGCACATTAATCTCAGAATCTACTCTTCCAAGTATTACACAAGGTGACGATTTATAGAAAAACAACAACAACAAAAAAATCCTTTCCTGTTCATAAGCTTGGGTTCCTTAGCTCACAGTGCCACATTTAAGGGTGCTTTGTTTAGAGGATGATTAGAGCAGAGCCCTTGGTACTGATTATGGCACTGAGCTATTTGTATTGCCCGAGTCTGGGTACCAAATTATATTAAAACTTCCACTGTAGGGTACGTAGTGACTAAAAAGTCTCTACTAGCTTAAACTTGGCATCAACTATGTATCACAGAAGCAAGATTATTGAGTGCAGAACCACAGGACCCAGCGTTTTCCTTTATACTTGCACAGGAAAAAAGAAACCCAGCTATAGCACCTATGGTTCCTCCATTCTTACATGGAAATTTCAAGCATTGTGGGTTACTTTCCAAAGTATAATCAGTGGGTTGCTGTGACTGGATTAAATTAAGTCAGGTGTAACAGGCCATTGTCTCTTGCATTAATAGAGCCCAAATTTTCCAGAAGTAGAATGAAATGTCAGCTTCTTTTAGGAAGAGGCAGAAAATGAAGAAGCCCTTTATGTTCCAGAAAACAGCACTTTTGACTGGATTCTCTAGAGCTCTTTCATTTCCAACAGTTCATCATTTAAAATTGAGTTTATCTAGTGCATGTCTCTGACTTGGTGACAACTGGGTTCAGTTCTACACAAGCCACTAAGCATAGATGCACCCAAAAGTTGGAAGGCCCATGAGTCATGGGTGGAGCTGAACTCAGGCAAAAAAGTGAGGATGAGTTTCTCTAAATTTGTCACAACGCAAGGCACAAGCTCATGCTTGGGCAGTTTAGCACCATCTCTATATAGGCTTGTCATACTGGCATGTCTCATATTTTACCTAGTGCTAGGATAGCTGTGTTTTATAGATTTAAAAACTTAATTAGGTATAATTAGTTACATTTCACTTTAGAAAACTTTAAACTATTTTGCTCATCGATGTAAACAAAGGGGCAGTTGTGTATGTAGTCTTACACTATTTCTCTAAGTTATAAACTGCATACTCAATTTGTTGGGTATCTACTTTTTGCCAGGCACTGTGCTAAGTGTTTTACATGCACTATCATCTTTAACCCTTAAAAAGAACCTTCAAGTTAGTAGTTACTGTCCCTATTTAACAAAAGAGGAAACTGTTTTGAGATTAAATTATTTGCCTAAGATCAAACAACTTGTAAATGAGAGGCAATCAGTAGTACTTAAATTTTTTTTTCTCATTTAAAAAAGGTGAAGAATTTGCTCCTGTTTAAGTTCTTAGATGTTCTTGAGGCAGAACATGGAAGAAGAACCTGGCAGGTCTGCAACTCTGGCCACCTGAACACAAGTTCTCAACCACTTCTTGGACACAAAGTGTTAAAATAGTCTCTTTACTCAACCAGTCGCTTAGCTATCCCCATGTTGTGGTTCCTGCTTAGG